ATCGCATGCCAATGTGCATTGGCTCGTTTAGTTTACACTCGAAGTAGATTGGTCTCTCTAAGCGAGATCCCAATTCGTCGGTCATCCGACGTGACGTCGAGAGTGACCGACTGAAAGGGAACTTCAACAAGTCATAAGATTGTGTGAAATAGTGAACAGTGTCTATAGTTTGAGAATTGTGTCTGTTTCGAGAGCTGAAATTATACTAAGCTTTAGCGTTTCATCACTGTGATTGAAGCATGCTGTTATTTTCAGTTCATTAGCAGAGACTGTCAGATGACTCTCAGATGACAAACTACTGAGGTTCTGCTTATTTAGAGAAATGGGACGAGATTGAATGTTAATTCAGTTGTTGACAGGTTAAACATGAACGCTGTCATGAGACGATATATTAATGGTCAAAGCTGCATTATAGGCACACATAAATGAGTTAGTTAGTTAGTTAGTTAAGGTTACTCCGCTAGCTGTGATGTTCTTCTTGGCAGAGACACCTTTTGTCCTCTGAGCTGAGAATAAAGCTGAGAATCGTTGATGACGGTGATCAGGATGTCTCTTTGTGACCAAACCTTCGTCTCTTTTGAGAGAAGCTTCTGGTTTCTTCATTGTTGGTCAGTTTTGTGTTTCACTGTAGCAGATGAGTGTTGTATTAGATGACTGAAATCATCTTTAATTTGAGACGGACAGACCTTTCTGGCACTGCAGATTCATTTTGTTCATTAGTAAGACTGTTATGAAACGTTTTGGACCTTTCTAGCTTATGCTGTGGGTCATTTCTCTGGCGTTTTCAGCCACAGCGTCATGAAGATGGATCTGGAAACGAGGGAAGCCAGCAGGCTTCAACACAATAATCCGGTTTAGAGCTTCTTGTGGGATTGTGGGTAATTGGATGTGACCTAACGTGGCCTGACGTGTCAGTGAAACATGATGTGCTCTTCACATAACACGCTTAACATGGTAAACATGGTAAACACAATGGCCCTGAACTGTGTGAAATGTCTGCTTATTCTGAATGTAACATGCTGTTTTGGTTTGGTCACATTCATGATTGATGTGTCACATATAGAGATGTAACGGTATGAAAATTTCTTATCACGATTATAGTGACCAAAATTATCACGGTTATCAGTATTATCACGGTATTGTTCAAATGTGCTGGAGATGTTCAAAAAGTACTGACACACTAATCACTTCAAGTTTTATATTTAAAATCAACAAACAACAAATAAAATGACTTTTTGTTTGCATAATCATTAAAACAATAATATTACCAATGTTCAAATATCTAATGTAAATGTTCAAATAAAGCTTTGAAAAAGTTGTGCTGGCACCCTCTCGTATTACAGTAATGCACTCTTGACATTTGTCATTAAAATAACGCCAAAAACAGCTTCAAATGAACTATGAAAACGAGAATAAAGTCGTAAAAGCTGCAATCCAGCAGCTGAATTAGAGCTGTTTTCCGTAACCTTCATGGACAAAGCAGTATTGCGATTAAGAACACTTCCTTTAGGTATTACATGGAGCAAAGATGAAAACAAAATGCCATCGAATCGTTTCTGAAGACAGACAGAACCTTCAGAGATACATTCATATAATTAATTCATTCATATATTCATTTGTATAATTCCCGATTATGTTTCTGCCGGTGGACGCCCAATTGCGAAGGGAAACACACGGACTGCAAATACATTAGTTACCAAATAATACACACATTCTTTCTATGAGGGTTGCGCTTCACTAAATAAAATGATTTAATAAATACCTGTTTACAATAAGCACTTATTCGCGTGTACACAGGAGAAAGTTTGAGGGTGCACACACGTAATATCTGATCAGCGCAGAGCCATGATCACTATATATATATATATATATATGGGAGAGCAAGCCCGCTGCAAGCCGAGAGATTTGTGCTGGCACCCTCTCGTATTACAGTAATGCACTCTTGACATTTGCCATTAAAATAACGCCAAAAACAGCTTCAAATGAACTATGAAAACGAGAATAAAGTCGTAAAAGCTGCAATCCACTTCTTATTGTTTAAAATGAACGGAGACTATCTTGTGTTTTTCCGTGGGTGCTCAGGGATCGGCGCCTTTTAAAACCTCCCCAGCTTTTCTGCCGTCTTTTCACACAAAACGAAACTACTCTGCGTGATGTGCGCACATGAGACTGTTACTTAAAACTGTGCTTTATGCTACAGTATTTATTTATCATCAGTTGTTCAAATCGCGGTAATCGAATACGGTTATAATGATAATTAAAATACGAAACAGTAATACTAACCGTGGGGAATTTTATCATGATTTATCATCAAACCGGTAATCGTTACATCCCTAGTCACATAGAATTAAGCCAAGTCACCTTTATTTATATGCCGCTTTATACAATACAGATTGTGTCAAAGCAACTTTACAGTGTGTGCTGATAATGCAGGAGGACAATAGAAACCAGACAGTTTATCAGTTAAAGTCAGCTGTTTTATAGCAGGCTATTCTTCTTTATTTTATACTGTAATGTCTCTGTTTATTTCCAGGTTTGTTTTGAATCCCAGTCAGTGAGTGTGGTCTCAGGTATTTGGACATCTTTCTGTGAAAGGCTGCTCTTTGTTTGTGCTCTTTCTTTATATAATCGTTCCATCTGATGGTGTTTTATATATAAAAGGCTGTTAATGTGATTATATGGGACTGAAGATCCAGTCAGGAAGAGGTTTAGCGGAGATTACGGCTGACGCTAACACTTCTTAGCATATTTTGTTCCTGGTAAGAGTCGTGAGTTTCATCGCTCTGTTTGTTCTGAAACATGGAAACTGATCCTGCTAACAGGTGCCTGTTGTCAGCCAGGAAAACACACTTTTTCTTCATGTTTTGCAGATCAATAAAAGAAAGGCATTACTGAGCTTTATTGACAGAAAGAACAGAGCACTCAGCACAATATCTTCAAACAAATCATATGAAACGAATCTATCAGCCTTCATTTCTGTGCCAGTGATGATCCACTGGTTCACAGCATGTCTCCTGAACCAGATGAAGTCAGATGCAGTGTTATGGTGTGAACAGATGGGGGTGTAATGACACTTTGAGTGTGTGTGTGTGTGTGTGTGT